GTTTGGGCTTTGCCTGTGGAGGCTGGGGGCCAGAACAGGAGGGGTTAGCCAAACATGCCCAGCAGCAGGTCTGGAACCTTACCCATGGACAGTGTCCGACAGCATCCAGAGCCCCGCCCTCAACCAGCCACTCTCTTAAGGGTTTGCCACACTGGGATGCACCAGTTTTTCACTTCTGGTTCAGACTGATCTCAGCAGAGGCACTTCTTTTTCAGGTTACCTATAAATATACTGTGAGTATGATGTCTCTAAGGCAGTGTTTCTCGAACTGTGCTCCGCAGAGCCCCAGGGCTCCGCGAGACATCTCCAGGGACTCCACGAGGTTGACAAACTGGAAACATCGATAGGTACAACACATACAATCAGTGGACTGCTGGGGCGCTGCATAAATTTTTATGCATGTAAAGGGCTCCGGAGCCCAAAAAGATTGAGAACTGCTGCTCTAAGGTTTAAATTAATTTGTAAAAATAAAAGAAGGTTGTTCTCCTGCCACAGCAGTAACTGTGAACTCCGTTATTGTTTCATATGGGGATATTAAAATGCATGCAGTTTACATATATATATATTTCTATGTTATATGAAAACTCAGATGCATTTGAATGTTATGCAATAACCAGGGCTCGACGACTGTGGCGAAAATCCACTTGCCAACCCCGCACCGCCCATGCGCCAGACCCACATTGCGCATGTGCGCACCGCCGGTGAACAGGGCGACCAGCTGAAATCCTCGCCACGGGCGAGTAGATAAGTGGATTTGTTGAGCCTTGGCAATAACAATAATAGATCTGTCTGTTACTGCTGATGTGAAAGAACATTTTTCTTTCTTTAGGCCTACAAACACTTATGAACATGACATGAGTGGTCCTATGTCAGTCAACAGGGCTTTTTATGTGGCTAAAATCACTGATTTTCATAAGGGTATGTGAGACCTGTTTTTTTTCCCCTTGATTTTTAGCTATGCCCAACACCCAGATCTCAGATTGAAGTTAATGGAAGCTGTGGGTTTTCATCTAATTGAGAATCAAACCATGTGTTTAGTCTTGGAGTCACTTTCTTGAGATAAAGTTGGAAATATCCTCATGTTGTCAGACTGGGGTAGGTTTTCCACCTTCCAGAGTTTTGATAACCAGAATGCCCACATCTTTTCATCTTAGTATTAGCTTTGGTACAGCATAGGAATTAGGGATATTAATGTGTATTTGTATACATGGTTAACTGATGTGCCTTGGCTCATCAATTACAGGAGGCCCCCAACTTGCAACGTGATTGGCTCCACGAGAAGCATTGCAAGTTGGGGGTGTTGTAACTCAAACCCTCATTTACAATAGGTGCTGTGCACCACTGTAAATGCGGGCTGAGGACATAAGTCAGGGGTTTCTGGCCCTTTCTACACTTACAAAAATGGTTGAAAGTGTGGGGGGTCAGAACTCGGTGGTCGCAAGTCGGGGGCCTCCTGTAACCTGCACCATTACATGCACCTCCCACCCCCACCTCTGTATCAGAGGCAGCAGCATGGGGTAGGGAGGAGCTGGTGTTGGGGAGAGCTGCCTTAAAAGCTGGTTCCTCACAAGTACCAGCTTCTGCGGAGCCACCAGTTCCCCCATGCTGCTGCCTCTAGTTGGGGTGGCTTTCAAACTAGCTTCCCACATGTACCAGCTCCTGTATAGCTGCTTGCTGCCTCTATATCAGCATCTACATTAATTTTAAACATCTTCTTTGTGTTTTTTAATTGGTGAGTTTATTAGGATAAAGGTACCATTTAAGTATTTCTGATGACCTTTCTCATCACTGCTATTCTGTGATTGGAAAGTGTGTGATTTTTTCTATACAGGTACATCATTGTTCTCATCAATGACATTATGACAGTTTTAGGAGGCAATGCTGTATGGCAGGGGTGGGAAAACTTTTTTGGGTCAGGAGCCACTGACCCATAGAAAAATAAGTTGGGGGCCACACACAAGTGAGATGTAAAACAAAACAAAAACTCAAAACTCACTGAGACAGCCCCTGACTGAGAAGGAGAAAGATAGTCTCCACGTTTCCTTCACTCACCAGAGCTTTGGGGAACCCAGCCTTGTAAATTGTGTGTGTTCCAGCCCTGCGGAGGGACAGTAGGAGGGCTAGAGCACCAGTGTGGGCTCCCCAATGCTGGGGGTGGGGGGTAGGAGGAGTCCTGAGCCTTGGGAGCTGGATTTAGGCAATCTGGAGACTGCATCTGGCCCCCAGGCCTTAGGTTTCCCCACCCCTGCTGTATGGATATGTTATGTGCCCTATGTTGGAGTTTTTCAGAACAACAAATTATTACAGGATGGCAGTCTGTGGGCTAGCTTGTGTCACAGGCCTGACTAAGGACAGTGTGAAGGTACAGTACCTCTCTCAGATCCTCATTGAGCAAAGAAAATGCAGCATTTGCTCTCAGCACATCCATCCAGTTCTACTGACCTACATGCCAGGG